GCTACATCCAGAGACAGTTTTCATTGTTACAACTTGTGGGAAGGGGGAGGAGTGATACTGGTGTCCTGTGGGTAAAGGCCAGAGATACTGCTAAAATCCTATACAGCACAGGTCAGCCCCCATGACAAAGAATTTTCAGCCTAAAATGTCAGTAGTACCAAGGTTGAGAAATCTTGCTAGAGATCTTAACCATATTAGAAAATAAAACTGAGAGAATCTGAAGTATTTATTAATTCATTCAAAATAATAATAAACCCATCACATGTTACCATAAATACATTTTTAAACAACTACATTTTTCAAATAGAATATTAGTGTGAAGAATGCATTGCTTTATTTTGTAAATTTCTTTATTGTCTGGCTTAATAGAAAACAGCTGAATTTCCATATATGTTTCTGCACTCAGTCTGTTCCAATCTGCTGCTATCATCAAAGTGCATGAAGAAAATCCAGCTTCACACAATATGTAGTTGGAAAGTGGGAGAGTATTTTCAAAGGCCTTTCAGATAACTATATATATTCTTCTTTGTTACTACACCAAAACTCAACAATGATGGTTTCTTAAAGAATCTGAAGCCACATTCACAATTTTTTTATATTCGGTTATTTTAAAAATCCATCGGGCATTTTGAATTTTCATTGAATCTTTGACCCAGGCATGATTTTATGACATCATGTGCTGTGGATTGAATTATATCCCCACCCCCAAATTCCTGTTGAAGTTGGAATCCCCAGACTTCATTATGTGACCTTATTTCGAAATAGGGTGCTTCTCAATGTTATTAGTTAAGAGGAGGTCATGCTGGAGTAGGATGGACCCTAATCCAAAATGACTGGTGGCCTCATAAAAAAGGGAAATTTTGACACATACATTCAAAGAGATTCGCCATGTCAGATGAAGACAGAGGTTGGGTGATGTGTCCACAAGCCAAGGAATGCCCAAGATTGTCAGCAAACTGCCAGAAGTTAGGAGAGAGGCATGAGGAAGATTCTCCCTCACAGCCCTTGGAAGGAATCAAGGAACCAACCCTGCTGACCCCTTGATCTTGGATGTCTAGCCTTTAGAGCTGTAAGAGAATAAATTTTGTCATTTGAGCCCAAATACCAGCTTGTGGTACTTTGTTAAGGCAGGCCTAGGAAATGAATACATCATGCACTGGTTATTTTGAGAACAATGGTTCACTGAATTATGCTGATCTTCCAAATGCTAACACATTTTGTCATAGGTTACCAAAAATCACATTCATTACTACCATCACAGATCTCACCAGAAGAGTCTTTAAGTATTAAGAAGATGTCAAGCTCCAAGGGGCAGATACAAGCTTTCCAAAATTCTAATTCTCACTTGAAAGCCCAAATTTTATCACTGACAACAAATACTGTCAGTGGTTTCCCTTGAAGGAAAAAGTTCATTTGATTCATTTTCAGAAAATATATACCATACCCAAGCTTGAATCACCATAGTTAGTCGTTCTTTTTTTGTTTTGTTTTAAGATTTTATTTATTTAGGGGCGCCTGGCTGGCTCAGTGGGTTAAAGCCTCTGCCTTCAGCTCCGGTCATGATCTCAGTCTCCTGGGATCGAGCCCCACATCAGGATCTCTGCTCAGCAGGAAGCCTGCTTCCCTTCCTCTCCCTCTGCCTGCCTCTCTGCCTACTTGTGATCTCTCTCTGTGTCAAATAAACAAATAAAATATTTTTCTTAAAGATTTTATTTATTTATTTATTTGACACAGCGAGAGAGGGAACACAACCAGGGGGTGTGGGAGAGGGAGAAGCCGGCCTCCTGCTGAGCAGGGAGCCTGATGCAGGGCTTGATCCCAGGACCCTGGGATCATGACCTGAGCTGAAGGCAGACACTTAACGACCGAGCCACCCAAGCGCCCCAGTCAGTCATTCTTTCAAGTAAATACGGTGATCCATGAAAGAAGCAGCTGGGTCCCCCACCACTCAAATAATCACACCAGTGTTTGTTCTCAAGGCAACCTCCTGACTTGCAGTCATGTGTATGTGGCTCCCCAGGAAATGAGATGTGAACTCAAGGATCGAGATTTAATGAAACTAATTTTGTTTTGTTTTGTCTTTAATGTGAGTGCATGGCCATAAAGAACACAATGACCTACTACTTTGGCTACAACCGCCTCCATCCGGGTCAGCTTGCCAGCGGCTTCCCCCACCATCAGTGCCGGTGTCACCACAGTGGAGAAGGCAAATCATGTCTTCGTGTGATGGCTGAAAGAGCACTGGCCTCGCAGAGACCCCACCACACTTTGAGAAGCACTGCTCTACAGCAAGTGTCGTGAGAAAAGCCAAAAGAGGGAGGGCCTAGTTTGCTCCTGTTCTTGGCTTTCTGTGTCCTATGAAAGACTGAGCCCCACGTACCTGGATTTTCAGCAGAAGAAAGCTCATGAAGAGAGCTCTGCAGTTGGTTGTTCCCAAGACCGGGAGACAATTCTGCAAGTGAGTGTTGCTGTCGATGTGTGTCTTTCGAGTCTTAAGTGCACACTCCGAAGCACGCTGGCTCAAGGAGCTCTATGGTCTAAGTGACAGTATTATGACAAAAAGAAGACTGGAGAGAAAGACTGTTTGAGTCTTCAAAGTATAAGGGAAAACGGTCATTATTGCTTACCATCTGGGTCTCATGAACAACTTTTAAATAATTTTAAGTCTTTTTTGGAAAAATTTATAGAATTAAGAATAACCAGACTGAAGAACAACTTTATAGGATAGTCTACTAAGAATTAAAACATAGCAGGGGCGCCTGGGTGGCTCGGTTGGTTAATCCCCTGCCTTCAGCTCAGGTCATGATCTCAGGGTCCTGGGATTGAGCCCCTCATCGGGCTCTCTGCTCAGCGGAGCCTGCTCCCCCGCCCCACTCTCTCTGCCTGCCTCTCTGCCTACTTGTGATCTCTCTCTATCAAATTAATAAACAAAGTCTTCAAAAGAAAAAGAATTTAAACATAGCAAACCCAAATTTTTTTTCCATATTTTCCGGGTTTTGAAGGTACCTGATATGGGTAACATCCTTTAAATACAAACAATGTCTTATTAACAATCCTCAACTGTCATGCCACGAATGGACTGGGCTCACATGCATCTTATAAATACTGATTTCAGAATCAAAGTCTAAACTATCATATGATCTCCCTGATATGAGGAAGTGGAGATGCAACGTGGGGGGTTTGGGGCGTAGGAAAAGAATAAATGAAACAAGATGGGATCGGGAGGGAGACAAACCATAAGAGACTCTTAATCTTACAAAACAAACTGAGGGTTGGGGCGGGTTATGGACATTGGGGAGGGTATGTGCTATGGTGAGTGCTGTGAAGTGTGTAAACCTGGTGATTCACAGACCTGTACCTCTGGGGCTAATAATACCTTATATGTTAATAAGAAAAAAATTTTTTTTTAAAAAGAATCAAAGTCTATCTCTCCTAGATTCTGGCTTCTCATCATTTCTGATTTCCCTTCTTTCACTTGCAAATCGAGAATGCAATACTTGAGGGAGTTTTAGAAACTTCTGATGGCTCATAATTTTGTTGAAGAGAGTCAACTTCTTGGCTTCATAATTGCAAAATAATTATATTTTTAGTTTATAGGCACCAATCACAACAAGCCATCCAATGATGTTTTTTATTTTAAGACTAAGTATTTCTTTCTGGTCACTATTAGCTGACTCCTGCCTCTACATCTGTCCCCCTGTGAATTGTTTCCAGTAGATGTTGGTTTACAAGCATCCCAAAAGATGAAAGAAAACTGTGACCCAAACTTTTAGTAAAACAGTATAATCCAGGTCTTTCTCCTTCCTGTCGAGTAACTAACTGGATGAGAATACCATATTTCTTTTTTTTTTTAACCTTAGAAATATATTATTTATTTATTGATTCAGAGCTTGAGAAAATCCACCTAGGATATTGTCATGTGAAGCCTCATAATCTGAAATTTCAGTTGTGTGATAATTTCACCATCCTTGTTAACTCGCATCTAGAGTGAGGTTCTCTGTCTCTCTGCATTCATCTTCTGAATCATATAATTATTTCAAAACATCTTCCTCTGCCAATTTTCTTCTCTTGGTCATTAGAGATGGAAAAGGGAAAATTTCTGATTTCTCAGTTGTATTCAATGAAAATTAATGTCAGACTATAAGACAGTATCTCTAGTCTTCTCTTTATATCTTCTGATGATGCAGTATTTGGGGCAACTACATGTTTCCTACTGCTGCTGTAAAAAACAAAACAAAACAAAACAAACCACCACAAATTTGGTGACTTAAAATAACACAAATATACTACCTTATAGTCCTGGAGGTCAGAAGTCCAAAATGGGTCTCACTGGGCTAAAACCAAGTTGTCAGAAAGGCTGTGTTCCTCTGGACACTCTCTGGTGAAGAGTGAGGACTGTCTCCTTGTCTTTGCCAGGTTGCCCACATTCCCTGGTTCATGACCCCAGTCCCCCATCTTATAAGCCAGAAATAGCTAGTCAGTCTTTCTCATGCTCCATCACTCTGGTTCTCTGCTTCCATTGTCACATGCTGTTTTAGAGACCCTTATTATTATGTTGGGACCAGATAATCCAGAATAATCTTCCATCTCAAAGTCCTTAACTTAATCACATCTTCAAAGTCCCTTTTTCCGTTTAAGGTAACATAGTCACAGTTCCAGGAATTAGGATGTGGACATCTTTGGGGGAAGTGTATATTATTCTGACTACCATAGCAACACAATAAGAAAACTATAGACGATACAACAGTGAGGACTTATGTCCCTCTTACAGTATCCTTCTAGATCATTCCACCATTGTTCCATTTTTTAATTTTAGTCTTTTAGCATAATTGAGAATAGTTGGTAATTAGAGTATAGCAAAATTTTTCAAGAGATAGGAGAAAATAAGATCACTAAAATCCCCAAATATATCTTAGGTTTACAAATATATCTTAGGTTTACAAATATATACAAAGATATATATATATATACATATATATATATATATTTTTTTTTTCAGAATCTGTTAAAACATGTTTAAAACAGGGTTGATCACAACAGTCAGAACCGGCAGCAACGAGGGACAAGAGGAGAGGAGCGTGGCCCATGCCAGACCCCAGCCAGTCTCTGTGGCTCTCAGCATGGCAGGTGCTTTAGCTTCTGCTTCTTGACTCTGATGGTGCAAGATGGGTCCCAAGCCCCACTGGGCATGTCCCGCCTCTTCTTTCAGGGGAGGGCGGGGCTAATCCACTTCCCCCTCCCCACCCCACCCCCAGGGCCCTCGTGGGCATTCTGTGAGGCCCAGCCAGGGCACGCTGGCTCTCCTTCCTCCCGTCTCCATGGCTCAGAACCAGGCTAAGGGCAGAGGTAGATGGGGAGACATGGGGGCCCCAGAGGGCCCCAGGTGGCAGTGAGGGAGCTTGGGACCCTGAGGGGGCATGGTGACTCCTTGCTGGAGAAAAGGCACTTAGAAAGGGAAGATGGGCCTGGGGGCCTCCCAGGGGGCCAGGGGTGAGGTGGGGTAGACTGAAAGAAGTCAGAAGCAGGGTGGTGAGCAAAACCCAATCCTGGTTCCCAAACAACCCCCAACCATGGCCCCAGGGAGAATGAAGGAACCCTGGAGCTGAGCCCTGCCCCCCAACCCTCTGCCTGAGCAAGATGGCTTTATCCCCATCCCACCCTTCCCCCCAACCCAAGCCCAGGTCCAATCTCTTTCCCACCCTTCCCACTGCCCCTCTCCAGGCCCTCTTCTACAGAGACAGTGGATGGCAGAGGGGCCTCAGGCCGTCTTGGTGCCTGAGTCCACCTCCTTGTGGGCCCAAAGCTCCTTATGCTGCTTCCGGCCAAAGCCCTCATCGTAGTTGCCTTTGCTCTTAAACAGCTGCTGAAAGTGGGGTTTGCAGTAAAACTCCCCGTGCAGTGCGGCGTAGCTGCCCAGGCTCAGCTTGGTGTGACAGTGCTTGCAACAGAAGCAAGAGTTGTGGAAGATTACCTGTGTGGTAATTCCAAGATAGGATGATATTCTCCTATTTAAAAATAAGTCTAATTTGTGTTGATTCTTTGGAAGTTCTGTAAGAAAGAATAAAAGCTATGCAATATCAAGCCTTACAGATGTAACTGCTCAAAATGGAAATTAAATTAGAATCAAATGCAAAAGTCTCTGTTTATATACTGATGGGTCAGGCTGTATTAGCATAAAGCCTTATCTTCTCCCTAATAAGAACATTAGTGCAGTGGCATAAGGCCAAATTTTGAATTCTGAACATGGAGGTAAAAATGTGCTGGGGGAAAAAGGTAGGGCAGAGACAGCTATGTTAGTTAAGGTAAGGCAAGCTGTTGTAACATAAGAAAACTCCCAAATTCTACGTCTTTAAGAACAACAACAGGGACGCCTGAGTGGCTTAGTCAGTTAAGTCAGTTAAGCATCTGCTTAACTCAGATCTCAGGATCCTGGGACTGAGTCCATGTTGGGTTCTCCATTCAGCGGGGCGTCTGCTTCCTCCCCTTGCCCCTCCCCCCACCCCCGGTCGTGCTCTCTCTCTCATGCTGTCTTATGCTTTCTCGTATAAATAAATAAAATCTTAAAAAAAAAAAAAAAAAAGGACAACAAAACATATGTCTGTCTCTCCTGCATACCCATGATGAATGTCGACAGGTGGCAAGTACCTCAGCTCTATGTGGAGATTCAGGGACCTGGGTTCCTTCCTTCTTGTGGCTCTACCATCCTTTGGGAACTCCGTGTGAATGAGGCCTCAGCTAGCCAGAATCGGGGAGCCCCTGCAGAAGACAAAGCCACTTTCTCTAGGCTTAGCCATAAGAGGCATTCGTCACGTTCTATTAGCGAGAACTTAGTCACACGACCACACTGAACTCCAAGAGTACTGGGACTTGCGGTCCAGCTGTGTGCCCAGGAAGAAGAGAATGAATTTTAAAACCCAGTAGCCAGTGCCCCACCACCCCCACCCTGCGCCAGGGAATGACCTGATCCTTGGATCGTTAGAGACAAGCCAGTCTTAGCTCCTGAGAAGCCAGAAATGATGGCACTGCCTTACAAATCAGGTTGTTAGCAGGCTGAAATTAAGAGTCCAAATAGGCCCATGGAAGCTTTTTCTGATTCAGCCTTACTGAGCAGACACCCTGAGGGGAGACCCAGGCAAATACATTTTTTAAAAAATCCTCAGGCAATTCTTCTGATTAAAGTCCACTGTGGATCAGGGTAAGAGACAGACCTGGTGTCTCAGGAAGCCCTTCCTGTAGTTAGAAGCCATGTGTGGGGATCGAACTGGATGCTGTTGGCCCCCTTGGGTGCTACCTGACCACACTGTACTCAGGCCTGCGATCCCCTCCCCTGACCCTACGTCCCCAGCCCAGATTCTGGCCCACAGCAGGCACTAAGTGAATATTTGTTGAACTTACTGTTTTTACTCTCACGGGAGAGCGAGTAGAGTGGGGAAGTCCTTTGAGATGCGTCTAAACCAACAGACGGAAGTGTCCTGTGACTCAGTCTGGTTTCAAAAATAAGCACAGATAAACCACCTCAGAGAACAGGTGTTTCCCAAGCATCCCCTCCCATGCAGCGAGGTGGTGGCTGGGAGGCCGACAGCGCTCCTCAGAGCTGGGTGGCTCGACACACCTCACCAGCAGACACACCACTGTCTGCGCTGGCTCTGTGAACGAGACGCCCCTCCCCCCACCCCACCCCCACGGCCAGGCCCCTGGAGCAGCACTTCTCCAACCTGGACGGTGACGTCCCGGTTCCACTCTGGCAGGTACGTGTAGAGCCAAGACACTGCATTTCCATCAGTTCTCAGGCATGGCCAATGCCACTGCCCCACACCGCCCAGACTTTGAGGACTCAAGCTCTAGGCAGAGGTAGGTATGAGCAGGCAAAGGTAGGACATGTCAGGGTAAACCAGAGACCCCTACCTGTCACCTGCTCCCACAGTTCACTGCTCCCCACTTGCCTCCACCCTCCTCCCTTTGCCAGACTCTCCCTCTTTGGGGAGGGGCAGATTCCTGTCCCAAAGTTAGACATCTTATGGCAGGGCCAAAGATGTGACCTGGGCTAGAAGGTCTGGGGTTTAGGTCTCCTTCACTTCAGAGCCTTATCATCAAATGTCCTCTGGATGGAACAGAGGCCAGAGGAAGCCTTTTCTCAATGATCCCCAAGGCCAAGAATCTCGAAGCAGAGAGAAGGCTGCCTCCCCAGCTGGGAAAGAAAACTAGGAGTGTCCATAATGAGTTTCCCAAGTCCTGCTCATTTGTGGCTCTTAACAGACTCAGCACTGGACCACACATATCCCCAAGTTCCTGCTGACGGCACCGAATCCCATAGCTGGGAAGGACCTTGATCCCTTGTCAAGGATCTGTTTTCCCAACTGAGGCAGATGGGCAAAAAATAGCCTGCCTGAGGCCACAAAGTGGATACTATTTCCATGTTTCTGGGCTGCTAGCCTCGAGGTTTTCCACACTGCCTCCCCAGTTTGGAAGGACTGATGATGCGATCTACGTGCCCAGCCATCTCCCTGCTTGGCAGCCAGGGGAGGGGGACCACTGGCCATGGGCCATGCTGGGTCACCGGACTTGACCTCCCAGCTGCTTGCCTTGCAGAACGGCCTGTTTAATGCTTTATTCCTCGTGGTGTCTCATTATTGATTCAGCCACTTGCTGCCAGGTCTGACCAAATAAACCCCGAGCATTTGTATAATGTCGACTTCATCAAAAATGCAGGAGTTGGGGTTTACTTGTCTGCGCGCTACCTAGACAGTTTAAGTCGATGATTGGTGGTTTCTGTGAGCCAAGGAGGGTGCTGGCAGCCCGCAGGCTAGCTACTGGCTTCTCTGAAATGCTGCTAGGTCCCCAGGCTCCAGGGAACCCAGCATCCCCCATCTCCTGCAGGTGGGGATGAGTCTGGGATGGGATGCTAAATGAACTGGGGAGCTCAGAGGTTGGGAGTGATTTTTTAAAATAGGCACGAGCCGCAGCTTTAGAAACGAAATCAACAATACATTACTTGTGCCACTGTTAAATATTACAGATGAAGATCTAATCAGAGGAAGAAATGTTTTTCGTCCATTTGTTCAAAAAATACTTAATAAGCACCTACTATGTGCTAAGCATTAGATTACAGAGATGAATAAGGCATACATCTGATTCACAGAGAGTTAAATCTCTGTTCGAGAGATACAAATGGGTGGTGCCTGGGTAGCTCAGTCAGTTAAGCGTCCAACTCTTGGTTTTGGCTCAGGTCATAATCTCAGAGTTGTGGGATCAAGCCCTGAGTCAAGCTCTGTACTCATTAGAGTCTGCTTGTTTCTCTCTCTCTCTCTCTCTCTCTCTCTCCCCCTCTGCTCCTCCCCGCATTCTCTCTTTCAAATAAATAAATAAATAAATAAATAAATAAGATCCTTTTTAAAATGAGAGAAAACCAGGCTATAAAATAGAAGCAATAATAATAATAATATGACATTTATTAAACATTTACTATGTACCAGGTACTGTTTTGAGCACTTCACAGAAAGAAATGATTCTATTTTCCAGGTATTTTTTTAAAAGTCTACACATACATCTTCCCATAGGAAAAAAAATAGGCACCGAAACATTCACAGACTGTGAATTCATGGAAGACTTTCATTTTTTTCTTTTTACTAACCTGGATCAACCAAATTTTCTTTATGTCTAGAGGAATAAGGAAGGAGAATGAAAGAGGGAGGGGAAGCTTGTGTTCATGCTCCTGCTTTAAAGAAATCAGGCAGAGTCTCAACATGCTTCTCATTCGCTGTCTGATGTCTTCAGGCTCGAGTAGATGAGGCACTGGTCTGCCCCAGCCACTCTGGGTTCTGTCCCAGCTCAGAAATCCAGCGCCTCTCCGTCCCTGGAGAACAGAGTTGCTGGCAGGCTTCACGGCTGCAGCGCAGAATCTATGGCTTGTGGTTGAGGCTGGGGAAGGGCCGGGCATCTGAAGATTGAGCCTTTGAAGTGGAATCCTTTAACGCAGTGTTCACAAATGGGCATTGAGAGCCTGGCTCCCTCCTGCCTGGCATGCAAGTTCCAGGATCTGATCTCTCCTACTGACCAAACTCCAACCTAGCCCGGACAGCTGGGGCTGCTGGCCAGCCCTCCTGGACCCCTACCCTGGCCAGAGAACTGGAGACAGTAGTTTTGCCACTGTCCGAAAGTCCTCACACCCCTGCAGGCCCTACTGGCCGGTTCTCGACCTCTGAAGGCTTCCTGGGGTGCACCTTCAGGTGGATACACAAAGAGAACTCTAACACTGAACTCTGGACACATGCGAAGGCCCAGCGTCAAGCACTTTACATTTCCTACTATAGTTCATCCTCCTTATCATCAACAACCTGATTTTACCAGTAAAGAAACAGAGGCCCAGAGAGGATAAGTTACTTGACCAAAGTCACACAACCAGGGAGTATGAAGTTGGCAGGCTGACTCCAGATCTTACACCCCTAAGCTTTCTGCTATACTGTCACCTACTCTCTGGCTGGGATCTCTGGGGACATCGCCTTCTAGGCCCTTCCCCAAGACAAGAATAGCAGTCCTGGTCACTGAGGAGACAGCAGAATACTAAGAAGAGAGAGCAGGGGGTGGGTGTCCACCAGTCCCGGCTCTAAATCCTGGCCAAGCCATCTACTTACTCAGTGACCTTAGTCAAGTCATTTTACTTCCCCGGGTCTCTGTTTCCTCATCCACGCAATGCCTAAATATTCTGGTTGCTGGACAGATGATTTTCAACACAGACAATCAGCAGTGTTACCTGAACACCTGCTGAGAATGCCCAATGCTGTGCCAGGAGCATCACATGCATTATTTAATCTTTTTAATAGCCTGTGACACTATGATCCTCTTCCCGGACAGATGGAAAAGCAGACCTAAGTGGGTTAAGTGACTTTCCAAGTTGATCAGAAAGAAGCAAAGCCAAGATTCGAACCCATGGCCTCTGACAGCAGAAGCCCCCACCTTAGACCACCCGTCATCTGTGTCCCATCGGCATCCCATGAGACGATACCTATCAAGGGCCTGGCATGGTGCCTGGCTCGTGCGAGCCCTCCAGTTAATATTGCTGTTGCTGCTGCACAGATGGGCCAACATGGGTGCAACTAGCACAGCACCAGGCACCCAGCAGGCCGCAGCCCCGCTGTGGGCATTACAGGTCACCATCATCTTGGGCGAGATTCTTCTGAAAGAATCCACGACAGAAATGCAAGGCATGGGTGCTGAGCACCTGGGCTGGCTTCACCATGATGTAGCAGTGGCACACTTTGACCCCTTGTGGGCAAGGTCACTGAACATGGAGAGCTTGCCATGCCCCCCCCACCGCCCCCCACAACCAGTTTGTTTTCAACCTCCCCCTGGATTCTCTACAAGTCTTGACACTGATGCTTTTGGTGTTTGCTCAGACAACAGCAACCATAACACACCACCAATCACAAGATGCATCCAAAGATAGAATATGTGAAAATGTTTACTTTTGAGAATGGATAGTTTTGGGTAATGACATTTAAGGTCCCACTGTGAAGCTGGCCAGGTGCTGGGTGTTCCAACGGCCACCTTCCCTTCATTTCACCTCTCTTTTACTTGAGTTTATTCTTATCTTTTCTTTATTGACAAAGACACCAAAGCTCAGAGAGGTAAAGCAATTTGTCCAAGGCCACACAGCAAAAAAGTGGCAAAGCCAGGACTTGACCTGTGGTCTCTTTGATCTCGTCACAGCAGCAGAGACAGATCCTCTCCTGAGTATTTCCTCACACTGGCTTCTGAGCCCAATGCAAAATTAGACCAGTCCCAACCTTGGGAAGCCATCTTTGGATGTCCGTCCTTTAGAAAATAATTAACAATAGTCCCTCTGTGCCAGGGGCTGTTCTAGCCACTATATGTGTTCTAGTACAGTTAGTGTTCCCAACTGCCTTATGGGATGGGTTCTATCATTAGCTCATTTCGCAGATAAGGAAACTGAGGTGTGGAGAGGTAATGCCACGTCCTCAGGGCCACATAGGTGGGAAAGGGAAGGCTTGGGATTCAGACACAGTGCAGCTCCAGATTCCACTCACCTAACTGCCCCCTCCATCTCACCAAACCAGAATAGGAAGGCCTCTGCCACCCCCGAACCCCTCCCTCCCCACTCCCTGCCCCTGCCACCCTAAATCTTACTGACATTCATGGTGGTCAGGCCCCTCTCCTGCTGGGAGCAGGATCTGGGCTGTCAGGCTTGAGTCAGACGGATGGCCTTCCCCAGCCAGGCCTGGCTTCCAAGTTTCTTCATGCTGGACCCAAACATAACACAATCTAGCGGCCCTGGCTGCTCTTCACAAAAAAAGCATGAGGGGGTGTGGAAAGAAATCTAATTACAGCCCTTTAGAGCCCCAGCTCTTCTTATATTAAATTAGCCCCCTTTGAAGTAGAACTCAACTCATTACAATAATTTAAATGCCAAGGAATTGTCTTATATGATCCCGATCTGAGAAAAATTGCTTTCACAACTGCATTTAGCCATGTCCCAGTGTCTCCCCACGGGACGAAGGATAACTCTGGATGCCAACGGTTCTTGCTTCAGAGAAGAGCTTGGGGAAGGTCCAGTGGGCCCGCTTACCCGTGGACCAGAGCTGCTGAGATGCACTATTGGGGACCCCACACAAACGTGGGGGAGGGCTGCCTATGTTTCGTACAACATCACAGGCCTAGGCCCAAATCAGAGGCTCACGGCGGGATGGGGAGGTTGCTGGGGAAATATAGAAGGTCCAGGTCAAATGCTTCACATGGTGATGGGCCCCGAAGAGGGATCCCCAAATACACACCCCACCCTGGCCTGCTTCAGGATCTTCTGGTTACAGATCCCAGGGTCCCTCTCCCAGAGATTCTGATTCTCATGTCTGCAGAGGGGTCCCACTTAGAAGCTCCCCAGAGGTACAGCTGAGGTACAGCTAGGCTCGGGGTCCTGGCTTGGCACCTCTAGGGATCCTTTTGAGTAATTTGGATCTGATGTGGATCCACTACTCCCAAATTTCATTACTGTTGCAGAAGATTCCAGGACCCCTGGGCTAACTTAATGTTAAAGAGGCCAACGCTGGTGGCCCGTTTCATTTACTTTCTCAGGGTCTCAGAGGACAGGACCTGTGGCTGCCAGTCCCAAAGTCCTCGGAGAACTGCCTGCTACAGTGAGCTGCTTCCAGATACTTCCATCTCACCAAAGATATTTTTGTGCTCTTAATTCAGGGCACAAATAAGAAGTAACAGTCATCTTGAATGTTTTTAAAGGAATGTGTTTGGGGGGGATCCTGATGTCTGCCCATCTTTCCTGACCTAGTTCAAGTCTCACCTCTTCTAAAAAATCCTTTGCCAAATACCCAGCCCTCCATGGGTACCCCTTTTCTGGCATCCCGTGAACCTTATTCTGTGGACTGGAGAGCCACTAGGTACCCGGCTCCTTGCTGCTTCTTGTTTGCCCATCTTTACACATTCGTGGTGCTGTGGAGATCTGGAGCCAGCCATTGGTTTTAGAAAGAACCCCGGATATAGTGAACGGAGCCCCAAAATGGGCCTTCTCAAAAGTAAGACCAGGCCAGGTTCTCAATAAAAGATCTGAGCAGTCATCCCTTGGGAGATACTGTTGGGGCAGAGTTCGAGGACCAGGACCCACCTTCCCCTCTTTAAAGATGAGGAGTCAGCCCCAACCAGTTCACACAGCCTGGAGTCCCTACTCTCGATCCCATCCTTCATCTACTCAAGGGTTGGCTTCTCGCTCCTTCTGAGTAAGCAAGTTCACACTGGGGCGTTCTTTCCTCCTGAGCGGCTATTTCCTGCCCAACAGACACACTCAAGACCCATCCCGACAGACACATCCATATGACTCCCCTCCTCCCACAGAGGACAGCGCTGTGGTGCCAGTGGCAGTTCCAATCCTCCTCCCCTCTGCCGCCCCAGGTTGGCCTCAGAGAATGTGGCCTGGACGAGGATCCATGCATCGGCTGGTCTGAAGAAAGAGCCACACTGTTCTTAAAAAGAGAATTGTGGTCAGAGAAATGACTTGGTCTCAATGGTCCATTTCACTCAATAGAGTTTCTCTCTGGTGTCTCCAAGTCACATCCATTTGCCTTCCTGACCCAAGAACAGGGTCTCCATAGCTTGGGACATGAAGGGCTAATAGCAACAATGCCTTTCCAGTGACTGTTTATCCCTTACCTCCCCTTTTCCAGAGACCCTAAAAAGAAGAACAAATCCAAATATCTGATTCCCAGAAAATGTTTTCAGCAACAGCCATTAGTCTAACCCTGAAATGGAATAAATCCAACCCTTGCATTAGCTTGCAAAGAAAAACCCCACTGCCACATTACAGATGATGTCAAATGTGGCAAACCCAACAGTTTGCAGCAAAACAACCACAGGGTACAACCTTCCAGACTTCCCTGCTTCCTTCTTCTGGTTTCTCATTCATACTCTTAATTAATATCTATCTACACGGCACTCTGCTCTAGGACACAAGTCCCTTGGTGCCAAAGACTCATGACTCAGAACTTCTTCCCCAGTCTTCCAGATCCCTGTCACTAGCTATAGAGTTACCAAAGTGAGCACAGGCACTTGTGACCCCTCCATCCTCAGAGCAACCTAAGTGCAGAACATTCTATGGGCTTTGGGACCACAATGGACCAGAGCTCAAGTCCCAACTTTGCCACTCTATGACCTTGGATGACTCAGGTAATCTCTCAGCCTCAGTTTCTGTGTCTGTAAAATGGGAATGCTCCTGCCAGCAGATTTACTGTAAGGATTTGCTTAGGTCACTATGCAGAAGACTTACCCCAGTGCCTGGTGGAGAATGAGTACGGTGAATGTCAGATGTTTGTTTTTTTTGTTTGTCTTTTTCCATTTTACATATGAGAAAACTGAGGCTCAGAAGGTTTCCTAAGTGACACACAGATGCATGAGAATTATGGGAGGCAAACTCATCTCTCTGATTCTACATTCTGGGCCTTTTGAGGGGGTGCTTTTTATTTGATAGTTTTGCACAGTTCAGCCATGAGAGTGAATTTGGGAACAAAAGAACCAAATGAAGGCTCAGAAAAGATCAAATAGGACAAGTCAGGGGAGGAGACTAGCATAAAGGACAGTAAAAAGGGAGATTGCTGCTGATTCCTGCCACCTCTCGCTATTGATATGAAGAAACACAACAAATGCAGAAGAACATTAGGGAAAAAAGATGAGGGGGTGGCGGCATAAGAGAGGAGCCTCAGAGTCTGAGGAAGGAAGCTGGAAAATTAAATACCAAACACGTCACAAATTTACTGGCCCCCTCACTGTTCCCTAAGCCAGGTGGGCACCAGGACTGGCCCCTCTCTGGATGGAGAAATGGCGGAGTACCAAAGCAAAGGACTCACCCGTACTGCCAGAAACAGTTGGCCCCAGAGACAACGAAGCTCCCAAATTCCTGGTCTCCAATCTCTGCCTCAGAACATTCTTGGGCCAAAATAAATGCGGGAACCCCATGGTGGAGGCTTGGAGCTGGAAGAAAATCCAAGATGTCGCCCAACACAGTCCAGTCCTTCCAGGCAAAACCACACCAAAACCATCCCGACAGATGCTAATTAGATGAATGGTTTTAAATTAAATAATGGGGAATGGGGGGAGGACAGAAGGGTGCCAAGGATAATTGGAACAGAAACCCAGGCCAGAGAAAACAGTGACGAAGCCCAGGAATTACTTAAGCACACACAAAAGAGGCTGGGACACAGGTAAGGGCTTGTTGAAGATGATGGCAAAGATGCAGGTACGGAGTCCCACGCGGTCCTGGAGAGCTTTGGTCTGGGCTCCTTGGCTTCTCAGCCAGGCTGTTGGTCTACCTCCAGTAAAGTTTCATGGGGGACAGCCCGGTGACCTCCCAGAACTCCTGTGAGAGGTCTCTCCAGCCTCACGGCCCTCCCCTCGGGCTTTCAGGTTCTGGAACACACTGCATTCTCCTCTCCCTTATCAGCCTCTGCCACTACAGTTCCCTTTGCCTGGAATACCATTCCCTCACCTGGCTTCCCCCCCACCCCACACCCCGCTCCCTGATCCTAGCCCACCAATGCCTACCGATTTAGGAGGACTGGCTTGGTTCTCCC